GCATACAATGAGTCCACAGGTCTAAGTGCTAATCCGTTATTCCTGGCCATAATATTCCCATCATTTAAGCGCAGTGGTACAATTCTTCCCAGTCCAATAATATTAATAATATCGGATTGGTATCGAGTCCTAAAGCAAATAGTCCCTAGGTTTTTAAGATAGAAGCTCTGACACAACCAAGGTTTCACATAAAATGCATGAATCAGTATGTGGGACTATGCCGCACCTGTTGCAATAGTAAACAGCATTATCTTCACATAGCGCGATAGCAAAAGTATACAGCTCAATAGCCTCGTTATAAAGTTTAGACTGCATCGCCTTGTTACCTGCAAAGTTGCAAAGAGACAAGAAGAACTTTGAAACAGAAGAACAGAATAGGGGGCTAAGTATCATCATACTTCTACTATTCTTTGATAAGGGAAAATATAAAATATTAGTACTAACACAATCAAAGAAGGAATAAATCAAAAGATTACACAAGAAAACTTTCAAAGAGTACAACACGAATAGGCCCACCATAAATCATGGTAATTCTTATAAATTCTTTGATAGGTTGCAGTAAGGATAATATATAGAGGCAAAAGTTTATTTTGCCAAACTAGCTGCATTACAATTTCTATGGCACAGGAACAAAAATTCATTGATTTACAACCATGAAAACATCTCCATTCGAAGACCAAGGAAATAATTACCATAAAACTACCAGATAAACAGAAAGAGTTGTCAATTACCAAGATAGCAATATGGATATACCAGTGAAACGTAAAAAATAAAAAGAGAAAAAAGGAAAAGGAAATGGAATTTTGGATAGACACATGTAATCAAAGAAAGTACCTTGTGATTTTAATGTCTCTGCCAAGTTTTTCAGGTCATCTCTCTCGCATCCTGATTTTTGCATTTCCTAAAACATTTGTCCGTATCTCATCAAGAGTTATTCATGAATAATAAGCATAACAAGATTCAATGCCATCAGACACCCATCAATCACGACCAGTTCACCAAAATTTGAGGGATAAAAAGTAAAATCATCATACAGAATATAGGAATATGGAATTAATAAGCTTTTATTGCACATATAGAAATATTTATCATCCAGTGTATCTGACATTCAAGTGCACTCTATTGGAAACAAATGAAATTAAGGTGAAGATCTTGAATGTACACAACAAGGGATAGTACGGAAGCACTATTTTGATGCATTCAATTGCAAAGTTCACATGTACAATTCATGCCCAAAAATTAAATGAACTATGAAAGTCAACATAATAACACGTACAATTCATGCCCAAAAATTAAATGAACTATGAAAGTCAACATAATAACACGACATCTATTCCTTCACCAGAGAACATCAAGTACAAAACGAGAAAATGTTTGTGTACGATAACCAAATAACTATTACAGTGCTTAACTATTCATTGATCATTTTATATTGTGAACTTGGGTAGGCAGGTTTAAAAAGGGTATTTTTGCTCTCCCAAAAAACAGAAAGGCCAAATCTTAAGAGGCATCTGAAGGAAAAGAACAGTCATAGTGCCAACAATTTCTACTTATCACGTAAATGCTAAAACTCATAGACATTGACAAATCTATCATGCACAGACACTTCTATTAAGGCAACGTGTCCGTGTCAAACACATTGTGCGCCCTATCGGACACCTACACTCCTTGGACCCTCCATGTCATGGTTTCATTAAGCCACATGCCATGTCCTATTTTTAAACTTATATATTATTTATATTTCTAATGCTCGAAGGATACTTTAAAGGACATCTCCTGGGAAAGTGTTCGATATGGCAGGGCATGAGCGTGTCCTTTATTTAAAAAATAATAAAAAATAATATAAATAAATAAATTATTAAGAATATAAATTGCCATGCTCATGCCCATGTACATACAGCATGGTTATAAATTGAATTAAGCTCTTAGATGCTATTGCTTACGAAATCAAAACCACAAAATCAATCTAAGAGATTACCACAATCCAGTGCTTACCCAGCCAACGTCCCGGTTACCAACTTAGCTGGAACTAAAAGGTTAAACTTAGGAAAATATGGCATGATGATTGGGAACCACTGAAACTATTCTAATACACATAAAGATGATAGTTTGAAATGCACAGGGGAAAGTTTGGATTTCCATTTAATGTGTGAACCTGAACATTAACCACATGCTTAACAGGTGAGAAATTTGACTTCAATATCTAAATAAAAAATGATGAGAAAAATGCAAGTGATAGATCAGTAATTATAAGTTTACTTATCGCAAGTTATTCATGTGCACAAAGATTTCTATATTCCCCCGTAGGGCACCAAGAGTTAGTTTATAGAACATTACATCCACAGCATTATGAAATATATGTGTTGCTCTATCCAGCTGTGCGTGATCATCTTTTCCATCAGGCATGCTTTTGAAATAATGAATCTTTTCCAGAGCACCAAAAAATTGCCCAAAAAGTTCATCTTCCCCTGCCAATGCATGGAAAAAAATAAATCAAGTTTTGGCATCAAGTTTTAGAAAGAATTAATTTTTTGTTGCCAATTATGCTTGATGGAAAATTACTTAAGAGACAATATTAACTACTAAAATTGGTGCCAGCGCTATGGAAATCATTTCGAGGCATGAATCAGAGCAAGGCCACGTGAGATAATCCTTCATAAAGAAACTTGTAAAGAATAAACAAATTTTGGCGGCTACAAATATCACACTTTCACAAATGGATGTATAGGCAGGTTCACTTAGGTTTAGACGACATTGAAAACAAATCACCACAAAATGGTTTGAAAACCTGTTCAAATACTACTGGTCAATTCAGATCAGGTTGACCTGCCAAACCATACTTTTCCCTTTTCCACTTCATACCACTTTTCTTATATCCTTTTCCACATTTTGGCATGCAGACCTCTCAGGTTTTACTCGTCAAGTGTCCACCAACAAATAGAAGATGCTCAAACTTGGCACATCTTCCATCTTTAACTCTTTGAGTGAAACTTCTGCAGATAAGTGTTGCGAAGATAAAAGAGGATTTCATGCTTGTGAAGAAAATTTAGTCCGAACCTTGTAGAGGATTTTATACCATGGTGGGATTCTATTGGGAACCCATTTTCAACTGGCTGGACAGACTCCAATATGATTAGCAGGTTTAAGGAAATGCAACACAAGTTTTGATCCACTTACTAAATCACTTGTCCAAATCCATAAATCTAAGTAGAGCATATGGCCATGACAGTGGACCCAGATTGAGATTGGCATCCCGATTTTCTCTTCGCTTGGCTATTGCTCCAAAATGTCTCTAAAAAGAAAATGTGCCATTTTATCCTATATACTGTTGTACTGTGATTTTGATTCATTGAGCTTCATCTGCTCTTCATATTTTCCTATATGTTTATAAGAAAAAACTTTTAGTGCCAATTTTGTCAGTTAAAATATTATTCTAGAAAGGCTCCTAGTTAAAAGTGATCAACAATAAAATGATTTTCATGTTTTAAATATGAAATGTTACAGCCGTTCGTGTAATGAAACGACAAGGAAACATATGACAAGTAACAATGGAATATTTATTCGCTGTATATATGTATAGACAGAAAGTATAAAGGCAAGGTAAAGCATCAACATAAGGTGTCATGTAAACTTCCAGTAAAATAACATCGCTGAAAGGGGTTTAGTCCTACCAAGTGAATGAGCTTCTCTTGTCAAATCCTCACCCTGATTAAGAAACAAAATAAAGTCAATTCACAAAATTCTGAAACTACACCAGACATGATACAGAAAACAATGGACACATCAAATTTTGTTCTCTGCACTATTCAATTTCTTTATTAACATTTCTGTAAAGAGGACACTAATGGATTCTTGTTTCCATTTTCTCTGGCATATAGGCAGGAAAACATAAAACAGAATTTGAAAATGCCTTCCAGTGATGCCCTATTTTGGTGCGTTCATTTTAAAACCCACAAAGATTATGTAAATATCACAGATATAAATATAGATATCACAAAAATTAATTTTTTTTTATTGGTAATCATCATTTAATATGAACAGCTAAAGGATGAGGACACTACCGACGACCGTGAACCCTCTGATGTAGAAGGTACATCTGAAGCTCCCACATTATTACTCCCATTCAGCGTAGTTTCTTCCCGAGAACGAAATGTATCTATTAATGAATCACCATTCCGCTGGCTCTCAACTTGAGAGGGATCAATCTTAAAAACCTCGGCCAAACATTCCCTAGCAACCTCAAGCGCTTCGCTATCTACTCCAGGTGCAGGTTCAACTGCACAACACATACAAAACAAAACAAACAGTGCCTTCAGTGTGTGGTGTGTCTCCTTATGAACTGAATCTTGTGGGTTGACTTCAAGTTCAGGAACATACTTAAAACGAATTAATTATCCAGAATAAAGTTTATAAAATTTCAAAATTCACGCTAAATTATTTAACATTTAAAAGACAAAATACTCTACGAATGGAAGAATTCGACCAAACTGAACAAAACTAACGGAAACGTGCTTTTGTACCGGAGTTGAGGAAGTTAAGGAAGGAGACGGCGATGCGGCGGGAGAGAGCGGAGTCCGAGTTCAACTTCGCCATAGACGGTGAGAAGAAAAACTGCAGCGGCTTTTAGGGAGAATGTACCTTTTTTTTAAGGACTCCTTTGACTGTGCGTTTATTCTTTTCCTCGCCGAGACAGGCATTGTGGGATCACTTTTTTCTTATTTTTCATTATTATTATTCTTTTCGAACTAAAAATGTGACATTTTGATGCTTCACCTTTTTCCCTCATTTTAAAATAAAATTCTTTAATTCTCGTAATCATGTTTAATTATATATTCACACAATAATATATCTTACACGTAAGTTTCAAAAAAAATTTACTTTTTAACTATACATTGTTCAAAAAATCACTGTTCAAAATTTTCATTTTTTCCTCAAAAATACTTATGAATAATATCCTTGTTAAGCTTTTTATGCATTATTAAGATATTATTTAATTGATTTTTGTCATTTAATAGAAATTTCTGCACTTTAATTAATATTCTATATTTTGTGATTCTAATGTTGTTAAATAGAACATTTTATAGAAGTGATTACAGTTGGATTGCATAAAGAGTTCTCTATGGATGATGAACATGATGTCGAATCTAATGAAAATGGTGCAGTAATAATTAGAAACCAACAACTCGCACCGTCTTGTGATTCAGGAACAAATCCTCTATTGGCTCAGAAGGTCGTCAGTCTAAGTTCTTCCAGAGAAAAAGAAACAATTACTGGATGTAGCATTGCTAGTGCTAATACATCGACATTCTCAAGAGCTGCCTACCACATTGAACACTGCAGCTCCAAGGTGCTTTCTTAGCCTTTCATGAACTCATACGCATATTGACTTCTATTATGTATTTGCTTTCTTTTGATTGAGAACTAACTTATAGTTCAGGATATTAAATGTTATTCTCATGGTGTAGAAGTTCTATATTTTTAATTTGGCATAACTTTTATTCGGAGTGCTTATGCTGATTTCTCAGTTTATCTGAAAGAGTATTGATCAACATTTTAGTTTTGTAAGAACTTACGATAAAAAAGGGGAATTCACCTGAATATCTACTCCGAATGTTTTTGCCTTGACACATAGCAAATAACCAGACTAATTCGGATTGCACTTCTGAATTTCATTCAATTATGCTATTTGTTGAGAAAGGACACATTAAATTTCTAAATGCACATTAACACCAAACTATGGATACCTATATATCCCTATGTACTGCATTATGCGTACCTGTCCTTTCAGAATTTTGTTTATTTTTTGTATATGGAAGACTCTTGACCATTACTCTACTCCACAATATAACATTAAGGTAAGAATAAAAAATAATCCAGATATGTTTGCATGTTGATTATTTATCACAACATATTTACTTTGTTTGACAGATAACTTATCTGTTCTGCTCTTTTATTGTTTTATAGGTGGACAATTCTCTCTCTCTCTCTCTCTCTCTCTCGTAACATTTAGCACACATAATGAGTGTGACTATTTTATTTTATTTATTTATTTATTTATTTTTTTGTTTGATCGCTAAGTCAAAATTCTTCTAGTTTCCATTTTTATCTGGAAGTTTCAGTTATTATTGAAATATGTATTACTTGAATGTGGTCAAATATATTCCTAATATGGGCATAACTCTACAGGATTTGGTTGATCTCCAGTCACGGCACTGGTAAGCTCTTCTGGACACAGTTTAACATTCTGATTAAAATTTTGTGTGGTGACGTGGCTTTTTGTGATGTATTTTTTCTCAATCTTTGTTTTTAACTTTTTTTTCAGCATAATGTTTGCTTGTGTTGTTGACCAGAAATTATACGCCCATTTATGCATCATCCCACCCCCGGGTGAAACCAACAAGAAGATAAAATGGGAAAACATGATAGATGAACTCTTTGCGTTGAATGCATCTGATGCTCTTAATCTTTATTTTAACAGAATGTTAGTCCAGTTTTTGGGAGTGTTGTGAATGGAATACGAGAAGAAAGACGTGTATTTCAGTGCACTACTATATGATAAAATGGATTCAACAGGAGATCCGTTATTATAAAATTAAGAAATTTATACCACTCCCCCCTTTCCAAATAGAATAGAAAGAATGCTATAAATAAAGAAACATACTGTTAAATTCTTTTTCTAAGTACTGTGTGTATGCCTTAACAACTAGTTGATCTTTTGTAAAGCACAGCCATGTCCTCATTGTTTAATAGATACCTGGTAAGATAGGGATTCTAGCCATCTTATTGTTTTGCTTTACTAGGATACAATTCAGGAACCTGCCCCCTAACAGGCTTTCCTGCCTTCAGAAAGAGTAATAACTCCAGAAATTTATTGGAATTTTCTTTCTTTCTTTTGAATGGGATCGTGTCACTTTTACCATTATGATCTGCAATAGCATTACTTTTTATAGCTTTCTCATGATATCCTTGTTCAATTGAAATGGACGCTTTGGATTTTGGGGTAGCATAAAAACTGACACTGACATTTATATTGTAATCGAAGAAAAGTGGAAGATAACAAATTAAATCTTAGTTTTTAACTTAACTATTTGACCTTTTAGCACTGAATAAATGTTATCGGCAGTCTTTGTACACTGAACACTTGAAGGAGAGGGCACACATGCATTATGTTTCTCTAATAGATTAAGATGTGAAGCGAAATCCTTTTATGTGTTGACTCCACTTGTTCTGCCATGGCTCCCCTTCCCATTGGGCCATATTATGTAAGTCTGATGCTCAAGTAAAATCTCTCTAACATGGACTGTTGCAGTGATCATGGTGACGACTCTTCTCTTAGTGGTCAAAGGGAAATTGATAAAATCTTGGGATCTGATACTGAACCAGATAACCTGTCAAAGAGAGACTTTTGCATTAAAAAGGTTCCTCTGGCTGGTAATAGTCAATTCTTATGCGTATTAGGAGTCAGATCATTATACAGTTCTATAATTATGTTGGAAGTAATGACAACGTTATATGGTAGCTTTGAGCTTTTTAAGTTTTTAAATGTGTTAATTCCCTTTTACCTTATATGTTACACGTTTTCGTTTGCTTCCTTAGTCAGTGCTTCACGTTTTCTGTTCGTGAAAGAAACTGTATGGGCTTTTCAAACAATCTCTAGAACCAGCACCCACAAATAATACGTCTATGAAACTGGATAATTGATAATATATTTAGATATGGGAATTATGTATATTCATGGTCAACGCCGTATGATATATCGGTATTGGGTTCACCAGTTATCTGGATAATACGATTTGGGCCTTTTCTGGTGTGGTTATAAGAAGCTTTCTGCTCAGACTTTAACTTACGAAGAATCCAGTAAATGGAGCCAGTTTGCACACAAGCACATGTTGAAGTGTAACATTTTTCCACTGTCCCTAGGATTTTGAATAATTTACAAGTGCATGTATAGTGTAGTTTATCATTTTGTTTTGACTTCTGATATTTGCCTACAGTGAAAATGAAGAAGGGGCGGAAAAGTGTTATTGATACGTCAGCATCTGAAGTCATCGATACAAATGATGCTGTAAGATTTTCTCTGCAGTTCTCTCTAATTTCTTTCTTGTAAGAAACATGTACTAGCCCAAATCGAATTGTTGAAGATAATATTTAATAAATGTGATCCTATCTAAAGTTTTAAGCATTTAGATCAAGTGGTTCAACGTGTATTAGAGCAAGTAAAGATCTTGAGTTCAAGTCTCACCATCACCTATTTAAATAAATTGTCCACTGTGATGCTTTGAAGGGAGAAAATGAATTTCACATATATGTGAGGGTGCATGTTGAAGATAATATTTAAACGATATACATGTGACCTTATCTAACAAATTAAGCTTTTAGATTAAATGGTTCAACAAATTGTAAAATGAGGAAGGTCAGAATCATTGAATACTTTTGATAATTTTTTTTACTCATTTGATGGATTTAGGAAAGATCTTGTTGATTATAAACAGAATTGGATAGAGAACATGAACAAAACATTAGCATAAATGTCATGGACAATTTGAAAATTTAGTACTTAGTGGTGACTTGAAACTTGATGAAGAACTTTAACATTGTTATTTTAGCATAGCAGCTGGGCACCAAAACCAACATTGATGTGTTTTGCAGTAGGATTGGATGGTACTCGGACAATTTTAAGGAAGAAATAGTAGCTAAAATCTTTTTCATATCTAAGTACTGTTCAATAGTGTGTACGTACCAAGCATGTAAATTGCTGGCTTCCTAGGTTCTGTATGTCTTAACATTTGGGTGTTAAATATGACAAGAAATATGGAAAACCGTTAAGTTTTTGTTTCCAGCAAAGTCCATTGAATGATTTTTGTCTCCACGGTCAATTCAACATTAATCTGAACACATTAAACAGTGTGATGTTGGCTTCTTGTATGTTTAATTTTTGTGACGCCCTGTTGTTTCCTTGCTGTAAGTTACACCATCCATTCTTTATTTACTTGCTGTTTCATATTACTCATTCCAGATAGCCAGGACTCGGAGGCGAAAAGTTTGACACATGGGTAATATAACATAATCAAAGGTTAACTTTCCTGGACAAGGGCTGTGGGTCTGTAGTCAAGTTTGAATGCACATTACTGTCATTCAGCTCAGATCAACAGGTTTAAAGGTGTTTAGTTTGATTTATGGAAACAAAGAGGCTAAAGTTATAGCTGAGATTATTTATTTCTGTCCTTTTTGTTGCCATTGATTTGATGGTTTATTACAAGATGTCTTGTTCGTAGACCTCTAGAATTTTATATAACTAAACTTGATACCAGGAGACTTGTTTTTTTGATATTCGAACAAGTTACTTGTTTTCAGTGATATCTACTTTTTGATAGAGGAATGAATATAAAATTAGTGGTATGTAGATATTAATTCTCAATTTACAGTGTAAAGTTGACAGATGAGTTACTCTTATTACCATTCTACATAAATATGTATGCCACATATATGCTAAATCACTCACAATTTCAGTTACAACTCCCAAGTTACTTGTTTTAAGTTCCTTGTTTTTAATTTTAATTAACTAAGAAGTTTTACTTTTTATAATTTAATTACTTACAAAAGTTTACTTATAATTAATTTTTTTTACATATAAGTAATTAAATTCAACTAATATTTCCCTTATTATTCATGACATGGTGAATGATTGTGTAACGCCACAAATTTAGATACCCTAGATTTAAAATTATTATTATTTATTTTTATCTTAAAATTATAACCGAGGAAAAGTGATTTAGATTTTTCTTTGACTGAATAAACGTTAATGACTTTTATTTATGAAAAGAATTTGTAGAATATTTAAATTAAATGTAAACTTTATTTCAAAATGAAATTAATATTTAAATGTGTTAATATGAAAATTGTCTTACAAGTAGCCTCGAATCATTTTGTCATCTTGTGAAAATTGGATGGAATTAAATGGAATCATAATTATTAAAATTGGATCAGATTGGAAACCTTTGAACTAGATGGTCGTTCGATCCAAGTGCATTAATTGGTCAAATAAGCAAAGGAACATTTCAAGAATCGATTAAACAATTCAATAATCATTCGATTATGAAGGGTTTAAGAGGAAATTGAAATCTATTCAATGTGTGAACCTGATGGTTATCAATGTTCAATGTAAACTGCTTTTATGTTTCACGTCAAATCGTCGCAGTATCAACCAATAGGCGTGCAATTTTGGTCCATCATTTTTAATTTCTCATAATTTAATCCTTCATCCAGCACGAGTTCTGAAAATTTGCAATCAAAATTTTCAATTATTGATTTTAATCCTCAAACTTGTGAGTCTCCTCCGATTGCTCCCTAAGTTCTTCATATCGAATAATTGCAATCCGTTTGATCATTAATGACTCCTAATCAACTCCAAAAAAGCTCTAATTTCACCTTTTTTTTCACGTCAATTTCATCCAAAAGTACCCAAATTGAGGTTTTACCAACAATTAACATAATCTAACCTAATTTTGGTAGATACCTACTCAATTTAGCAATAAGTAAGGTAGTATACAAGCCCAAATAAGTGCAAGATTTTCCCTCATCATTTATCCATTGCTCCTCTAACATGTTAAAAAAGTATCTTAGTTATAAACGAAATATCTCCAAAAAA